TGTATTTTAAAAAAATATTTATTATATTCCAATAAATATTATATGCTAAAAATATTCATTTATCACATAAAATAAATATTTGCTCTGGACAATACTAATCTATAATTAAAATCAAAAGTTGTTCAAGACTCTTTTATATCATTGAATTTTTTTAAAGTATGAGTATCGTCTCCCAAGGAACTTGCGCAACACTTTGCAATTTCACTTGTTATACTAACTAAGCTACCGGAAAACAATAAGAGTTTGATATGCTGCAGTAAATAATGTAAACAAGCAATAACAATTCTTTTTGGTATTTTGGTAAACACTTAGAGTGCAAAACTTGATTCTAATGCAATATTAATAAATTGTTGGGGTTTGACTTCACTAAATCTTCCTCTCATGTTTATCACTAAGCTCACAATAGTTATTATTCATAATTTATCAATCACTCTCAAAAAGTTGGCATCTAAGTTTCTAACTTAAACTATCAATCTCTTGCATAGTTTAACCAAAAAACTAGCTTTAAAAATCAAAGCTTAAGAAAGACCAATGGCATTTACTCTATCTCTAACAATAAGCACCATTAGCTGCTCTATTTCAAGTCAAAGGTTTAAAATCATTTCTCAATCTCTTAAAAATCTCGAGTTCAAGTTAAGGGTGATCAAGCCATAACAAGCATTATGCACAGAAACAGAATAATAAAACTGAATAACAACTTAGATTGATAGCTTAGAGTTTACACATGAGAATGGGTTTAGTTACATCAAACCCCAACAAGGGTGAAGTTAGCTATACATAGACATGTAGAACTTTACAAATGATGAAGAAAGGAAGAAGCTTGATCTTGAAGGTTCTAGAGCTCTCCAGCCGCCACACAAACTCCAAGAATAATCCTCCTTGCTTCTCTCCTCGAAAATCTCCCTTTTAGGTCATAAAAGCTTTTGTCTTATGTGAATAGTGACATATCAGCACAATCCAGGCTAAGCGTGAGATGCCACGCTGAGCTTGAGGGAAGGTATGGAGTGAAATGAGGTTCTGGGACTCCCGCGCTCAGCCCCAATTCCTCGCTCAGCGTGGGGATCAAAATTTTGTTCCAGGGATTTTCTGCCAAGCTGAGGCTAAGCCTGGATATGGGGCTTAGCCTGGGGACTTAACCAAAAATTCCTTCAACTTCAAATTCACCACTTTGTGCTTGACTTCCTTCCTTCTTTCCTAGCTTTCTCCTAAACTACAAAACAACAACCAAATACTTGTAAGTTACCTAAAAACATGATCAAAGACAAAATGTGTTCACCTAATAATTTAGATATGTTTTGAGTTAAAAACAAGGCCTAAAGCAAGTAAAATTGATATAAGTACTTCAAACTAGGCCATAAACTTAATGAAATCATAGCACTTATCAATAAGTCTTGGCAAACCGATCCAGACATTATGCAAAAGGAGGTATTACGTTATTATAAAGATTTGTTCTCTTCAGATTCCACAAACTCCTTAATGGATATGCAGAATGACGTCCCTCCATAGTTGGGTGCATAGGCTATTGTAGGCGGAACGATTATGGGTATGAAGTCTTTTAAAACCCGAGACTTGATTGTTTCCAACCTTTTCACTATAAACAATATTGGCCTATAAATGAACTTTAGAAGTTAGTTGATAGTGCTTTTAGGAATGGTTACTCATATCCTTCTCTTCTTGAGACTCTAATCATACTTATTCTGAAAATGGATAATCCAGTTTGACTAAAGGATTTTATGCAATGTGGCTCTTAAGGTTATTTCAAAGGTCATAGTGGCTAGACTTCATCCTTTTTTAAATGATCTTATTGGGCCTTTTCAAGGAACCTCTATACTAGGCAAGGGTACTCTAGACAACATAATACTAGCATAAGAAATTTTAAACTTCATCCATCATGACAAATTCAAAATTGGCTCTTTAGTTCTTAGGATCAACCTAGAAAAAGCATATGATAGGGTTGACTGACAATTTCTTCAAACTACTCTTGTTCACTTTGGATTTCTAGATAGAATGTTGCGATTGATCATGGGTTTTTCTCAGTCGTCTTTATCTATCTTGTGGAATGGAGGCAAACTTGAATCTTTTACTCCTTCTCCAGGTTTGTGACAAGGGGATACTCTCTCCTTTTATCTATTTGTTCTTTGCATGGAATGCCTAAAACTTAAGATCCATGAGCTAAATTGGGTGGATATTTGGAAACCCATCTTGCTCACTCGTATAAGGACCCCTCTTTCTCACTTACTTTCTATAGATGATGTCCTTAGATTCTGTCAAGCCAGCTTGGATCAAGTGTAAATTGTGGCCTCTATTATAAAGGAATTTTGTGCAGCATCAGGTTTGATGGTTAACTATACTAAGTCTCAATTTATTACTTATGGTTCAATAACCCAACCAAGATGTGAGGACTTTAAGGTATTTTGGGCATTACATGTTCATCAAGATGAACAAACAAGTCTCTCGAGACTCCTATGATACAAGGTAGAGCTAAGTTGTATGACTTTAATCATATTATGGATCGAATTAATGATCATATGGATGCTTAGAAAAACAAGTTGTTAAACAAAGCTAGGAGGTTATGTCTCGTGCAGTTAGTTGTTGCCACAATTTCTATCCATGCTATGCAATAATTGTGGTTACCACAAGACATTTGTCATGCAATCAATCAATCGTGCAAGTCTATGATATGGTCATCTTTTGGTAATTCCAAATTATGGTCAATAGTGGGATGACCCACTAATATAAAGCCTAAGTCTCATGGAGGTCTAAGAGTTAGAGAAGCTAAGCAAGGTAATATTTCTTTGATAGGAAAGCTTGTTTGGGATTTGATTCACTTCCATTGGAAGCCTTAGGTGCAAGTCATGAGGGCAAAATATCTACAACGGAGGTGCATTTTGTAAGCTACTAAGAAGGCTAAGGATTCATATGTGTGGGCCAACATTGTTAAGGTTCTATCTTTGCTCAAGGAAGGTTTTGTGATGTGTCTTGGCTCGTGGACCTCTTTCTTTGGTATGATAATTGGTTGGAAACCAATCCTCTCTGTATGGTGGTACATTATGTACATATATCAACAATTCTACACTTAAGGTTGCTAATTGCTGGTCCAATGGTGCTTGGAGTTTGGATGCCCTCTTTACACAATTATGGCAAGCTAGTCGAGATGAGATAATTCATATTTCAATACCTTTATCTCCAATAGGTACTGATTCGTTTATATGGAGTGGGGATCCTTCAGGCTGCTACACTACAACTTTAAGATTTAAAGATTTTGCTGCAACTTGAGCCCAATTTCAGTGATCAAACATGGAAGATTCTTTGGCATTTACAAATTCCAAAGAAGGTGAAATTTCTTCTCTACCAAGGTATCCTTGATTCACTCCCTAAAATAGAAAGAGATTTAGTTGTCATTTATTTGAATCTAAAACTTGTTCCTGTTGTTCTCATTGCATAGAAGACACGTTGCGTGTAGTGCATGATTGTCCTCACTCTTGTTAGGTTTGGTTGCGAATAAGAAACGTCTCAGCCTCTGTGTTTTCTATATCTGAGAGCACTACCTAGTTTAGGACCATGGTGTTACATTCGGATGATATCCGTCTCATTATGATTACCTAGTGGATCTGGAAGTCAAGAAATAACATGATATTTAATGATGATCGTTGAACTATTGGTCAAGTGATTTGCATGATCATAGGCTCTATCTTGCAGAAGTCCATTTATCGAAAACAACATGATTAGTGGATGGATTGTGTAAGATGGACACCGCCAAATTATCCTTATTTGAAGCTTAATGTAGATGGTAGTTGGTTACCAAGCACTGAAATAATGGGTTTTGGTGGTGTAGTAAGAGATTTCACAAGGAGATGGATTTAGGATTTTGCAAATTCTTCATTGAGTAGAGACTCTTCGGGTAGAGTTGTTGGTTGTGGAAGAAGAGATACATATTTGTTGGTAGATGGGTATTAGATTCCTTATTTGCGAAATGGATTGTAAGGAGGCTGTGCTGATGACTCAAGGATTGTCTAGTGCGAGGGAAGATTGGCAAATGCATATAACTATTGTACAAAGAATTCGTTATAATTTGGATAGGGATTGGAATGTTACTCTTGATGTAATTCCTAAGAAAATCAATAATGCAACGCATGCTCTAGCTGAGTGGGGAGCTATAAATACTATTGGTCAAGTGATTTGGAGGAGTCCTCCAAATTTTGCTCTTCATGTAGTAGGACTAGATATGATTTCTGAGCACCTTTATCTTTCTTTTACTATTATTTTTGTAATCTACAAAAAAAAAAAATCCACTGGCTTTGAAACCTCTCCAAATATGCAGAGTTTGCCACTTCTCTGGAATTCATTAGTTATTCAAGCTGATGTAACTCATGACTATTTTCGTAGGTGTGAATTGCTCAATAAAGATAGTACAAATGAAATAGATTGCACAAATATTTCGTATTTAAAACAATGACTCGATATTTACGGATTTTCCGCAGTCACATTTTGTTGTGTTAAGATTTATATAAGCTGTGAACAATAATATATGTGACGCAACAAGTATCAAGTTTGTTTGAAGGAATCACGTTACACTATTGTGGAAGTACAGAAAGCTAGGCTTAATACACAAGGAATTATGTAATTATACATATAAAACAAAAATGAAAAAATAACGAGAGAAGTGATCAACAAGTTGCAAACTCACAATTGGTTGGGACTAAGGTGGATAACTCAAGCTGCTTCTTGATTTTAAGCCTGCTTTCATTCAAGTGTGCCTCTGTTGCCAGAAATCACTGCCACTGTGGTTGAGATGGTTTAAAAAAGATTGGAGAATTTCATCACAAATCTACTTTATTGTTCTATAATAATGAGTTTGTTTTGCATTTCACCGAGTTCTTTGTGCCTCTTCTCTCATATTTGTTCTTCTAACATTAACCATGATACCAATTATTACTTCTTAATTTGGAAAGATTGTAAACTCTAGCAAGGGAAGCCAAAATAAGTGCACACAAATAACATTTCAGCAGAGAGAACAGAACACAACCTTCCATTTAATCAGATTTTAATTTCTCAATCAACACTTTGCTAGCAAAGCTACAAGTGTCTGCCACTGGCACTAGAGCATAACAATACATAAATAAAAGTCCCACACATTATTATCCAAAAACAACCCGTGATACTGAAACTATAGACAAGAAATGAGTGGTTACAATAAATGGCCAAAACCACCACCTCAGAACAACTTCACCGCACCCACTCGTGTCTGCACCGGGCATCAATCCCATAGATGATTCCGATCCGGAGAAACTCCCATTGTTCACCAACGAACTGCATCACGAAATGGGCCTTAAAGTCTTAAACTTTCACAACCCCACAAAATTTTAAAATTTAAAAAAACAAATTGAACTCAATTAATTACCTACCTAGAAGGAAGCCGGCAATTCCCGTAACCTGAAAAATAAAAAAGTAGTATTTAAGAAATATAGGAAGAATAATAATAATAAATAAAAAAGGGTGGAGTGAGAGTGGCTTACTGGGGTTGAAGGAGGTAATGGCGGCGTTATTATCGAAGTTGCAATTGTCTTCGGAAATGGTGTGTTTGCGGAAATAATCGTTGAAAGCATACGACGCCGTATTCTGCACATTGGAGGGGTCGTAGCAGGGTCCTCCTTCTTGGATGGCTCCGCAATCAGCTCCGCCGGCACCGCAGGCCCACTGCACCGCCGCTTGTAGCGACGCGTCCTCGGCGTTGTTCTTGGCCGCGCACCACACCTCCCGCGACGGAGCGTCTCCGCCGGCAAAGCCCAATAGAAGAAGAAAGAGAGCCAAAGCTGTGGTAATGGGCATATTTGAACTCAGTGAGTGAGTGAGACCATGTTGTCGCTCTTCAAATCAAACGTCAAACAGTGTCGGGAACTTCTGGGCTTTTTTGTCCTTTTGTCTTTCCTTTCGTTCACACCATTTTTTATTTCTAAATTCTAATTAATGTTTTTTTAAGCGTGCTATTGCTATTGGAGGGGCCAACTATCTAACAATTTTATAATAGGGAATTGCTACGGTACCCTCAAAGATGGAAGGGTTTCAATACATTTTTCTATGTAAATTCATAATTTTTTTTTAAAAAAATTTATTTAATTATAAAATAAATAATCTAAATTATACTATAAAATAAAAAGTAAGATAAAATTATAAAGATTAAAATTATAAGTTTTCAATAATATTATAAAATATTAAAGAAAAAGAAAAAATTAATAAATAGTAGAAATAAAAAGTTATTAAAATTACAATATAGAAATTCAAAAATTTAAGACAAAAAGACAAAAAATATACTTAAAAAATTATTAAAATTAAAATATAAAAATTCAAAAATTTTAAGTGAAAAGATAAAAATATACTTAAAAAATTATTAAAATTAAACTATTTAAATATATAATAATATTATTACAAATAAATTAGAATATATAAAATAAAAATAAAATGACTAAATAATTTAAAAATTGAAAGGATAAAATATTATAAATATTATTTAAATAAATTACTAAAAATATAAAATATAAAAAACTGTACCGGTACCCTCTCAAATAAGATGGGTACCATAGAATTTCTCGAGATTCAAACAAAATTTTGAGGAAAAATAATTATTAGTTGTGTGTAGAGTCAAATAATATCATATAATTATAGATTCAAATTATGGTATATATGGTGATTGTAATTAAGCATGGTAATCGGACGCAACGTTTTTCGTTTTTACTCTCACAAATTTAAATCGTCTTGCTCTTGTTTTTGATACTTGCTGGGGTAAAATCTGGGTACTTATCCTCGTTCATACGGGATTCAAGTTTTCCTGCCCTCGTTCCTACCTTTTTTTTAAAAAATAAATATGAATAAATTTATAAAAAAATAAAAGAAAAATAAAATAATACATATAAATATTTCTAATTTTAATTTATATATATAAAAATAATTTTTTAATTATATTATTAAGCAAGGCAAAAGCAGGGGTGGGGGCAAGGCGAGTATTAACATCCTCATCCCCACCCCCTCCCCCTCCCTCCCGATTTTATCAATCAAGAAAATCCGAACCCGATAAAGACAGGTTTTTCGCGTTCAAATCGAGGCGGGTTCGGGTGGGTATTCACGAGAGCGGGTTAAATTGTCATGCCTGATTGTAATTATATGGATAATAAAAATTGTACCTTTAATTTTTATTTTTATTTTCACAACTTTATTTCTCTATGTTTTAATTATGAAAATTTTCTCAATATGTTGCAAAGAATGTAATTTTTTTATCTAATAGTTAGATTTGTATAGTTGATTATTTAATTTTAAAATTAGACACACCCACATGTACAAAAGTGAGTATTAATATTCTTTGTTGTCATGTTATTGTCTAAATATGATATAACACTTAGGAATGTGTATATGTATTAATAGTATGATGCGTAAAATTCATGTTTTACATATGAGTCAGATAAGTATGATCCATAAAATAAATATATTTTTTTAAATTTAAATCTAATTTGTCAAAATTTATGAATAAACAAATCGATCTAACTAATAGTTAAAAAAATAAAAAAAAAATGATATAAAATTAGAAGAATAAATAATAATTTAAAAAAAAAAATTATTTTTAAACTAAAATTTGTCACACTAAAATTTACCAAATATTTAAAGTAATCTTAAATACTAAATATTAAAATTAAAAATATTATTGATACATATATAATAGTATCAAATTTTCAATAATAAAAATAACAAAATATCTTAAAAATAATTTAAATTACAAATTACATCAATTAAACATAATTTTAGTGTCATAATAATTTATAAATTTAAATATACAAATAAACATTAAAATTTTAACATAAAAAATTCTACGAGATAACTCACAAATTGACGAATTAAGTCTATGAACTTCACGTACTGAATACAAAAATAAAACATAATTACATTTTTTTTATATAAAATGTTGGTTATCTACAATGTCTATAAACTTACGAATGGATTGATGGCCCTGTATTTATCTACCTGTACCGGATGGGTCTTATCGGTCACGTGGACCAACACGTGCCGTCCCGTCAGACACCAACACGAACTCAGGACATGACCATGACCGTACGTATATGGTCTTTAATGGTGCTTAAATTCGGCTCGGCCTGTGGCCGAAGGCTGAGAAGGTTCAACAGCAACATTGGTTCATAAAAGCCATAGCAACACGAGAAGGCTTCATGTGTCCCTACGTATCAGACCGGCCTAAGGCCAATAGCTAAGGATGACCCACCGCGCACCTATCGGTCCGGCCAAAGACCGAGGACAATCAACATCCCGTCTTAGTCTATCGGCTCAGAAAGGAGCCGATAGATAAAGGCAAGGATTACGACAATAATCACAATTAACGAGGACAAACGCGCGATTAAGGTATAATCAGCCGATTAACGTCGTATTACCTAATTTGGTAAGCTTCAGAAGAGGCCCACTACGGGAAGGTCCCATCAAAGGTAGTATAAATAGGTCGCTCATAACGAGGTATGTCACTGTTCATTTATTACCCTAGAAAATCGTGTTTGTCCTGACTTGAGCGTCGGAGTGCCTTTTGCAGGTACCTCCCCCCTCCGGAACATCCACCTGAAGTCCACGTTCGGCCCTTCTACCCACCAGAAGATTACGAGTGTGCCCTCAGACAGGTACATTTTGGCGCCCACCGTGGGGCCAAACCGATAGCTTTGAAGAAGACAAACTATTTTGAAGAGAATCATTATGGCGAAGACAAGGAGAACGAATGCTGAAGACCACCAATTGGAGGATAAGCACCGATCTGAAGCAGATAATGCCGAGACGGTCGATGAGACAAACCTAGCCGAGATGGTACGGTAGATGAAGGAGGAAATGGCCGCCATGAAGCAACAACGAGAGAGAGACGCTCGTTAAATGGCTGCCCTGAGAGAAGAAAATGCCGCCCTCAAAAACCAGCATCAAGACCCCACGTGGAAACCCTTCGAGTCGACCCACACTCAGGGGTCGTTCCACTCGCTCGGACACCACACCTCTATCCCTCACACTTTTGCTGCTGCCCCGGGCATCCACACCTCGGCCGCACCAGCGCACGACCGGCCGATGCACGCCGTCCCTGCTGGAGCACACCGACACCCCTTCACCCCAAACATCATGCAGTCTTCACTTCTCGACCATTGGAAGTCCCTGCCACTGGACAAGTACGATGGGACGACCGATCCTGACTAGCATGTGGATGTGTTCTTAACCCAAGTTACTTGATAAGTGCTATGATTTCATTAAGTTTATGGCCTAGTTTGAAGCACTTATATCAATTTTCCTTGCTTTAGACTTTGTTTTTAACTCAAAAGATATCTAAATTGTTAGGTGATCACATTTTGTTTCTGAATCATGTTTTTAGGTAACTTACAAGTATTTGGTTGTTGTTTTGTAGTTTAGGAGAAAGCTAGGAAAGAAGGAAGGAAGTCAAGCACAAAGTGGTGAATTTGAAGTTGAAGGAATTTTTGGTTAAGTTCCCAGGCTAAGCCCCAGATCCACGCTTAGCCTCAGCATGGCAGAGAATCCCTGGAACAGAATTTTGATTCCCACGCTGAGCGTGGAACTGAGGCTTAGCGTGGATTGTGCTGACATGTCATTATTCACATAAGACAAAAGCTTTTATGACCTAAAAGTGGGATTTTCGAGGAGGGAAGCAAGGAGGATCATTCTTGGACTTTGTGTGGCGGCTGGAGAGCTCTAGAACCTTCAAGATCAAGCTTCTTCCTTTCTTCATCATTTGTAGAGTTCTACATGTCTATGTGTAGCTAAACTCACCCTTGTTGGGGTTTGATGTAACTAAACTCATTCTCATGTGTAAACTCTAAGCTATCAATCTAAGTTGTTATTCAGTTTTATTGCTCTTTTTCTGTGCATAATGCTTGTTATGGCTTGATCACCCTTAACTTGAACTTAAGGTTTTTAAGAGATTGAGAAATGATTTTAAACCTTTGACTTGAAATAGAGCAGCTAATGGTGCTTATTGCTAGAGATAGAGTAAATGCCATTGGTCTTTCTTAAGCTCTTGTTTTTAAAGCTGGTTTCTTGGTTAAACTATGCAAGAGATTGATAGTTTAAGTTAGCAACTTAGATGCCAACTTGTAAGAGATTAGGGTTGGTTACTTTTGAGAGTGATTGATAAATTCTGAATAATAACTATTGTGAACTTAGTGATAAGCATGAGAGGAAGGTTTAGTGAAGTCAAACCCCAACAATTTATTAATATTGCATTAGAATCAAGTTTTGCACTCTAAGTGTTTACCAAAATACCAAAAAGAATTGTTATTGCTTGTTTACATTATTTACTGCAGCAAATCAAACTCTTATTGCTTTTCGGTAGCTTAGTTAGTATAACAAGTGAAATTGCAAAGTGTTGCGCAAGTCCCTTGGGAGACGATACTCATACTTTCATTGAACTACTTATACGATTTGTTACACTTGCCAAACGACATAACATTACCCTAAGCACTACTGATGACGCTGCATTGTGCCGAATCTTCCCGACATCATTGAAAGGGCGTGCACTTAGCTGGTTTACTAGACTTCCAGCCAACTCAATCGACTCGTTCAATACCTTGGCGTCTCAATTCACTATCCAATTTGCTACGAGTCGACCCCACCAGCTGACTTCTTTGGCCTTGGTGAGTATTCGGCAAGAGAAGAAGGAGTCCCTTCGGACGTTCATGAGCCGATTCAACAAAGCGACACTCGAAATCTGAGACTTGAATCTTGCTGTAGCCTTCCACCATCTCACCACTGCTCTGAAACCGGGACCTTTTGCCAATAGTATTTGCAAAAAGCCACCAACCGACATGGATGACCTGCATCAGCGCGCCGACAAGTATATGCAGATTGAGGAACTAGCCGAGTTCCGCAATCAAGC